GGAAAAACTATTAAGTGTTCAGTTTTGATGCCATATGTCAGAACCAGATCAAGAGTGTGATTAAAACAGTGAGTGGGTTTATTTAGTTTGAGAGAAGCCAACTGAGTCTAATAATGAACAGAATGCATTGTTGAGGCTGTCACTGTCAGCATCTACATGAATATTAAAGTCGCCTACTATGATTATTTTATCTGTACTAAGCACTAAATCAGACAGAAAGTCTGAGAATTCACTTAAAAACTCTGAATAAGGAGCAGGTGGACGGTATACAATAACAAACAGAACAGGCTTTTGAGTTTTCCAGTTTGGGTGTGAGAGACTCAGGGGGAGACTTTCAAATGAGTTAAGTATTTAAAAAAAAAAAAAACAAAGACTGACCAATAACGGCGTAACCCCCGGGCAGGATGCGGTAGACTATCCCGTCAAACAGGATTCCATTTGGGAAAAGAGTAGCCATGATCTCCCCTATGAGGCGACCAAAAGAAGCTCCTTGAGGCAAGAGATAAGACACACTGGTAAAGACAAACTGAACTGAAGCTCAGCAGGAGACACTGCACTCAGATTACAAAATCCTCTTACCCAGTATGAACACTGGCATAAAAGCACCGGAGGGGATGGGCATTGTGGTGGAAACTGCTGACATCCAGAACTACAACACAAAAACAGGATCGAGACCAATCCTAGAGGTTTTTCATGCTATCAAATGTATTTAAAAGTAGCACCTACAGTACACAGCAAGAAAAAAAGATACCTTCATGATGAAGAAGAGGAGGAGGATGACAAAGATGCTAACATGAGGATGGAGCCATGCAGATGAGCGACCTAGGCTGGGCGGAGCAGCAGATCCTGAGAGTTTGGTCCAGGTGAAATTATCAAAGAGGGAGTTAATACACTCCCTGGGCATCAGCTGCCAGCGGGAACAAACATGTGCATTAAACTGGGCTTTTCAAAGGAGGTTAGACAGAGATTTGGGTGTGTTATGCTACAGTAGCTGGTCTCAAGCAGCAATGAGGGGCAGTTTAGAGAAGTGTGGCAGCCTCACATATACAGTTTTATTTTTTTCAGACTTGTAGTGTTAGGTGCCTGCAAAAAGTATTCACCCCCTTGGAGGTTTTACCCTTTTATTGATTTTAAAAATCAATCATGGTCAGTATAATTTGTTTGTTTTTTTTGACAAAACAAATGACAAAAAACCTCTTTAATTGTCAAAGTGAAAACAGGTTTCTACAAAGTAATGTAAGTTAAATAAAAATACGTAATGGGAAATAAGTGACTGCATAAATATTCACCCCCTTCAATATTTAGTAGATGCACCTTAGATGCACAAATTCTCTATTGGATTGAGGTCTGGGCTTTGACTCGGCCGCTCCAGAACACTCCTTGTCGTGTTTAAACCATTTCTGTGTAGCTTTCGCTGTTTGCTTCAGGTCATCGTCTTGCTGGAAAATAAATCTTCTCCCAAGTTGTACTTCTCTTGCAGACTGAATAAGTTTGTCCTCCAGGATTTTCCTATTTTTTACCACATTCATTTTACCCTCTACCTTTACTAGCCTTCCAGGGCTGGCTGCCGAGAAGCATCCCCACAGCGTGATGCCACCACCACCGTGCCTCGCAGTGGGGATGATGTGTTTGTGGTGGTGTGCAGTGTTTGGTGTCCACCAAACATAGCATCTTGTCTGATGGCCAAAAAGCACCATTTTGGTCTCATTACACTAAAGAACTTTCTTCCACTTGACCATGGAGTCTCCCACATGCCTTTTGGTGAACTCTAGTCGAGATTTAATATGAGTTTTCTTCAACAGTGGCTTTCTCTTTGCCACTCTCCCATAAAGCTTTGACTGGTGAGGAACCCGGGAAACAGTTGTTGTATGCAGAGCCTCTCCCATCTCAGCTGCTGAAGCATGTAACTCCTTCAGAGTGGTCATAGGTGTCTTGGTGGCCTCTCTCACTAGTCTCCTTTCTGCACGGTCACTCAGTTTGTGAGGACGGCCTGATCTAGGCAGATTTAGACATGTGCCATACTCCTTCCCTTTCATGATGATGGATTTAACGGAACTCCGGGGGATGTTCAGTGCCTTGGAAATGTTTTTGTATCCATCCCCTGACTTATACTTTTCAATAACCTTTTCTCTGAGTTGCTTGGAGTATTCGTTTGTCTTCATGGTGTAATGGGAGCCAGGAACACTGATTAACCAGTGACTGGACCTTCCAGACACAGGTGTCTTTATACTACAGTCACTTGAGACGCATTCACTGCACTCTGGTCATCCCTGTTTCCCTAATTGTGAGACTACTAGCACCAATTGGCTGGACCTCTGCTGAATTAGGTCGGTCATTTTATAGGGGGTGAATATTTATGCAGTCACTTATTTCCCATTACATATTTTTATTTAACTTACATTACTTTGTAGAAACCTGTTTCACTTTGACATTAAAGAAGTTTTTTTGTAAATTTTTTTTGTCAAAAAAAAATTATATTGACCATGATTGATTTATAAATTCAATAAAAGGGTAAAACATCCAAAGGGGTGAATTATTTTTATAGGCACTGTAGATCTGGATTTTGCACAGCTTCCTCTTCATGCAGCTTTTGCTCATTGGAGTTCCTCTTTGTTGTAAGTTACTTATAAAATTCTAAAGATTCTGGTCTTTCTTTGCTTTCATATATATAATAACATAACAAAACCATCTCATCTAGAAACCACTAACCCCCTTTTTCAAAAACACCACAAATATTAAAGAACAGACATGAAAAAGAACTCAGAGAGCATGAGATTTGTTCTGACTAACCTCTCCAGCCATAAACTGTCCGAATCCAGGAGGAAAAGTGAAGGTGGCGATGATCAGAGTCACTGCACCTGGATAGATCAGTCGACTCATGGTACAAACACAGACATGGACACAGTCATTAACAGAAAGCCCAGTGTGCTCCCACAAGCCTACAACATGGCAAATAACTGATGCTTGTAATAGAAACAACTGTCAGTACGAGTGTGCACCAGCACCGACTGCTCCGAGCAGCTCCTGCTGCTGCTGCTCTGTAACGATGAAGACTAACGTTCTCTGACTGTTGAGTCTCCCAAAATAAATGAATCTTCCCATTTAGTGAATAACTGCCTGAGGGGTTATTAAGGCTTTGCTGCTGTCTTGGCCAGTGTTGTGAGACTGATGAGTTCAGAGAGTGGAGCTGAGATACACTGAGAGGAACTGGATTTGAATGTGCGATTATTTTGCGTTCCTGGGAACAGCATCTGCTCCCAGAAACACTGTGGTTTAAGGGCAGAGTGCAGCATTAATCCACAGCAGCAGGGAGCAAGAGAACACTGTGTGCGTGTGTGCATTGGGGTCTCACTGTTTGGTCAGGAAGCTTGTAAGCATTGTCGGCCTTCTCATGAAGAGAACCACCTGTCTGTTCAGGTAGACAAAAAACGCCCCCAGGAAGCCGCATGAGATCCTAAAACATGACACAAACATGGTGTGTACTGAGAAGGAAAACATCACTATGACTGACTATGAACTACAGCAGATCAAACATTCTACTGACCACACTATTTCACACTACCAAAAATAAAATGATTCCTGAGGAGACCCTGCACATTCACAAGCAGACTCACAAATACTCTCACCCTATCACTGCAAATGCAGGCAGCTCCTGCAGGTCAAAGGGAAAATCCATCCGGAAGTTAGTTTTGAAGAGAGCTGTGATTGTGACTGAGAGACACAGGAAGAGAAATAATACAAATAAACATTTTAACCCCACATAAATTTAGGATCTCAATGTGTCTCAATGAGTGAAATTTATTTGAACATCAGAATCAAACATAGGACATAAAAAATCTCATTGCATACTGTGTATTGTATAGAAAGAAGGGGAAAGCCCAATAAGCCCAACGAGGGCTTATATTTTATTTTTACTTTACAAAATTAATATTAGATAATATTTACACATTCAAAACATAAAAGTAACACACTGGAGTTAAATATGTCTTTGTTCTGTACAATATTAAATCAAATAACATTTTGGCCAGTTGGACCCAACAGAAACGAGCTGTAGGTTCATATGTACTTGAGTAACAGCTGAATAAAATAAAATAAATGCAATGATCTGGAACATTTCCCTCTGTGAACTGCAACTTGTATATAAATCATTTTAATATAACTGAAGAAGTTGAAGTGTGACAGAGTTGGACTGTCTAGTAAAGATTGAATTCATTTAAAAAGGAAACATGAGAAACAATCAGGATTCCCCGCTGTGAATTTTTCCTATATAAAACCCCACATTTTGAAAATTTGAAATTGTAAAAACTTTGACAGTTTGACAGCTAAGAATAGATGTATTTCATGATTCTCTGGTTAAGAAAGCATGGATGCATAAATTTGTGAACTGTATCTCATACATATAAAAGTTTGTACTTGTAATTATTAACAAACTGTATAAAAGAAGATGTTTCTGCAGAAGAGGAAGAAGAAGAAGAGGACAGGGTGCAGGGATTTGCACAGTGGCAGGTATCTTTACTAGGGTGCTGCTGTATTGCAAGTGTTCTGTACATGATGACTTAAAACATTTCTGGTTTTTATAAAGAAGCATATCCATCTACTTTCCATGACATGCCAGCACAGCAGTATTTTGGTGGTTTGTGTGTATGTTTGAGTGTTAAATATGCAGCTGCTCTGCTTCTCACCAGCATCCTTGTTCCAAACAGAGAGCACCCTGAATATGAAGGCACTGAACGTGGCGGCAAAATATCCCCGCCAGTAATTTCTCACCGCAAAGTAGGTAGACGTGACCTCAATACTGAACAACACCCCTGGTGGTGGTGGAGAGAGAGAGGAGGATGGACATAGGGACAGGAGGGATTACAGCAGAGAGGCCAAAATGAGGATGGACAGTGTGGGAGATGAGAGGAGGAGGAGGAGGAGGAGAGGGTGAGAGAAAGAGGGAGACAGGGCAGGGGGGAGACAGACAGCCAGGCAGAGAGAGATTAGACAGAAATGAGTTAAATAAGCAAAATCAGACCAAAAACACTTGGAGCTAAGGGTGTAATTACACACAACAGGAGGGCCACAAGGAGGAAATAAACACACTTAGACACAATCAAACTCATATATTCATGTAGCCTTTCTCCTAAAACACAACATCAGAGTCATTAGAAACATTATTGTGAACAGAAGAAAAGGAAAAAATAATATCTGAGGACTCACTAAATGTCACTTTCATTTCTGTGTTGATTGAATATTTGTTAATGCTATGACTCACGTACTGAGGGACATTTTTGTATACTTTTACACACTGACTGATACTGAGCAGAGCTGCAACTAACAACTACTGTGACTACTGAGTCATCTGTTAATATTTTTTAACTAAACAAACTACAAAAAAATTGGCAAATTATGTTTACGTAAATTATTAAATAATCATTCCAGCTCTAATATTAAAGTCAATTGATTCTTATTGTGATGCATGGGAGATGTGAATTGAAAAGATGCAGCAGTAGGGCTGTCTATCTATCTATCTATCTATCTATCTATCTATCTATCTAGCTCCAATAAGCAGCCATAACATTATGACTGCTGACAGGTTTGTTGCAGTAACTTTGTTGTAAGAGGCTATGTGAAAGTTGTACAGTACCTCCTAGTGGAGTGCCGAAACAGCATCCCACCCCCACGGCACAGCCAACAGTCAGAGTATCTGTGTAACCATAAGGGTTCTACTGACACAGAAAACAGAGGGAGAGGAAAAAGTAGGTGGGAAGTGAACGTGTATGTGACAAAGAGGGGTGAATGGCATGAGATGATGAAGGGGGAAAATGAAGGTGATGAGGAAAGAGAGCGTTGACAAAGAGACAGGTGAGTGAGTTGGAGAAAGAGAGAATAAAACATCAAGGTGGAGAGAACAGGATGGGGAACCGCAGGAGAAGCATTGACAGAGGGGAAGGAAAATAGAGTAAAGTGAATAAATAATGCTCACTGGAGAATGGTTTAAAAAAGTGATAAAGGGAGTAAAACATCACAAAAAGAGAACATAAAGAGGATGCACATGCATCAGACCTAGACGAAGCACTTAAGCAATCAGGAAACAAATCAAGTGGTCCTATCGTCCTTAGACAGTGACTGCAGCTGATTACAAAATGAAAATTAAAGGTATCAAACAAAAAATATTTCCACTGATTATTCATGACCTTGAATTATAAGGCTCTATGTAACTTTCATAAATCACAACTGATTTAGAGTGTGTCTTTTATGTTGCAATATTTTTAAAGAAATGTTTATTTTTTAAAAATCTGTTACTTACTAAAAAGTCATTAGACTGCTGAAACTTTGAAGCTCACTGCATCAGAAAAGGGGTCACATACAGCGTTACTGTCAAGTGATTCAGTCTGTTTGAATTCACCACTGGTGAGACAGGACACTGGTCTGAGGTTAGTTTTAAAGGTTGACATTTTGGGAATTACATTTATTCATGTTTCTGCAGAGAATTAAATGAGAAGATTGATATCACTCTCAGGGTAAGGCACTTAATATGAAACCAAAGCCAGCAGCTGGTTAGCCTAGCCTAGCATGAAGGTAAAGGTCTGTGGAGGACAAGATCATTGTTGTTTTTCTGGGATCTGTCTTTTCTATATCCCTAGCCTTCAGGATTACAGGTACCAACTAAAGTGCAGTGTTATATGGCACAATGTCATGTAAATTGTGGGAGAAAGTATAAGTTGTGGATTTATCCAATGTTTGTTTAAGAGCAAGTGACTTTCTAGATTGTGTTGACACAGTCACCAAGACAGGGGTGGAATGTGCTGTGTCCAATTAGGCCCCTCTAAAACCTCCCTGTTCTACAATTTTCATCCCCTCAGGCCACACCTGCCAGACAAGTCTTCTACTACAAGTTATGCCCACCAGAGGCTGCATACAGCGAGGGGGGGGGGGGCTTAACTTGATACATCATGCTACCCTCCTAAATATTCTGTCCCCGTCTTGCAGTTCTCAGACAGACCCTTCTCGACAGAGGTGATGTTGTGTGATGTGTTCACTTCCAGTGCGTCTCCACTGTAACCCATTTTAAATTCCCAGAGCTGATTCTATTAGCATTAATACTGACTCCTATCTAAAAGTACCTGCCTGTAGCTTTACAGCTGTGTTTGGTGACGCCTGCTGTTCTTTTTACCAAACTTGGAAAACAAGTCTGAAGCTGACATTAACAGTTTCCCCCTAATGGCTGCACATAATTGTGGTCTTAATAATATAACACAAATGCAGCATTAACCAAGATATTTAGAGTTTTTTTTTTTTTTTATCTATTGAGGCTAGCTCTTTTCCATGTACTATTTACAGTCTTTCTGCTATGCTAATATAATTACCTGCTGGCTAGATTTATATTTAGTGTACAGAAATAAATCTTCTCAAATACTATGAAAACAGTGTGTTTCCCAAAATATCAAAGTATTTTTTAAAGTTGACAGAATTTTATAATCCAAGGCTTGGGTACACATTTATTGACAGTTCAGTCTGCAGGTTCCGTTTTATTAATGACCTGCAATTTAGGACACTGGTCTGAGGTCAGATTGAATCTCTACATTTGCATTGCTGATGCTTCAGGTGGGCTAAGCTGTCTGGAGACCTGTGCCTGAGCAAGTCAGCGGGTGAGAGCAGGGCAGGACTTGCCTCCCACAGGGGCAGCAAAACAGGTGGCCACTCCCACGGCACATGCACACACCAACAGGTCCTGGTTATGGGTGCCATTCTGGGGTTAAGGGTCATTGGTGAAGGTGGGGAGAAAGAGGGAGGAGAGGGGGATGCACATAAGAAGGGATAAAAGAGAAAGCCAAGGGGAGGTGAAGATAGAAAGAACAGGGATATCACTGTTAAAACACATGCCAGACATTACCATCACACTATTAAAATTGTGAAACAAACAGGCAAGGTGCTGGGGGCAGAGCCAAAACAAAAAAGTAATGGGGACCAGAAGGGAGACCATGAGCCATAAACTGTATGAACTAGGCAGGAAGAAGACAGATGGGAGGCACAGGGCTCCCACTTTCACTTCTACATCAAATTCAGAGACCTTTCAAAGAATTTCTGTGGCTCAAAATTGGCAAACTCACACACTGTGAGGTCTCATTTGTAATTTAAGACCTTTGTCAGTTAAGTAAAAAGTGTTGATAGAGCTGAATTATTAGGTAGGATATGTTCAAGGTCATCTGATCATTTTCAAAACTAGACTCAGAGTCTACAACCATACTAGCAGAGGGCACAGCAGTGCTTTGTGCTAAGCAGTAACATCAGTAACATGCTCAATATGACAATGCTAACATGCTGATGTTAAGCACGTATAAGGTTACAATTATCATTTTAGTTCAGAGTCAGCTGAAATGCTGACTACCTCTTGGAGATTTTAGTAGGTGAGGCTATCTACTGAAAACTGATGATAACGCAAGCCTCAGCCGAACATATCATGTCTGATTTATCACAATATATTTTTTAAAATGAGAAATCAAAAGAGTCTTAAATATGTAATGCTAACATGCAGATGTTTATCTGGTGCAATGTTTACCGTGTTTCCTACCTATAGTTTTTGCAATCAGCTAATAAGCACTAAATACAAGATGTAACTAAGGAAAATGTCACAGGTTTTGCTAATATACAATCCAAACTCAGCATTTGGCAAATGGAAACTGTGACCGGATAATAAAATTCAAATTTTTATGACCTGTGAGAACCATGTAGTTACAGCAAAACAAAAACAAAGTTAGCTACAACTGAAAAACCACATTCCATGTCTTCATTAGTGGATTGACTGAGGTCATTGGGGTTCATGGGTAATGTAATCAGTCTTGGTCAGGCCTTCATCTTACCTCATAGACTCCGGAGAAGATGGACATAAATCGACTCAGCACTGCAGCACAAATACTGGCGATGTGGACAAATGGACCCTTGAGGTGACAGGAGGAAATCACTGACACAGATAAATAGCATGTAGTGCTTTCTACATAGAGACTGACTACTGTCTGTAAAGCAGGAAATCTAAACTGGGACATGTATCAGAACAGATAAATCACCGGATAATTGCTGGATATGACAGTTGCCATGTGACTGTAATGGGGAAAATGAATGTACTCCTTTGGTGAGGACATTAATAATTTGCCTCAGTCTCATGAGAAGGGAGGGAAAACCTGATAGAAAATGATTTATTATCCTCCAAGTTTGGAGGAAGAACAGATAAAGTGATGAAGAAAGTTAAAAGGGGAAGGATGTTGATGATGCTGGATCAATGGACAGTGATAAATACAGTGAAAGACTAAAGACATGACGAATGGGTTTGTTTACCTCTTTGCCCACTGGCATCCCACTGCCCAGGGCAGCAGTCAGGCCAATGACTTTAGCTATGAAGGCTTTGAGTGTCAGATACTCCTTCAGGACGACACCCCTAAGAATAGTTTTCAGCTCAGGGATACCAGAACCTACAAAAAATAGAGGATGAGCAGAGAGGGTGCAAGGCAGTTAATAATGAGAGTGGTTAAAATTCTGGTTCATACAACAGGAAAACAGACAAAAGAGAGTAAAACCAAGAAAATCAGCTGCTGGAGGAGACAAGAGAGGCAGACAGCTGATGGAGAGCATACCCGTGGCCTGTGGGGAAATCAGGTGACAGAAGAGTGAGGCAAACATGACAAGGATCATGGGATATGTAACCCAGGCAAGGTACTGGAGTGGCACATTGCCCTCAAGCTCCCCATGCATCCACTTATAGGCTACAAGACAAAAATAGAGATAGAAAAGAAGACAAAAAAGTCCATTACACATAGGAGTACAAATGGGAAAGAAAGAAATGATCAAACTGTGCATTTGACAGTAATAATCCCTGCAGCCTTGGCCTATGATACCTTGCAAGCTCTTGGCACTGGCATAGTCCATACTCCAGCTGACAAGAGCCATAGTCAGTCCCAGAAGAACCAGATATATCCAGTCCTCCCCCATCTTGTTCACCATGTACTGCCGCACACGAGCCAAACAATCTGGGACAGAGAGACAAATGGATTCACCCTGAATCCATTTACTTCACTTGACTTAATTACTGACATTTAGTTGTAACAGTGTCTGAGAGGAAACCACCCAGTGTGATTACAAGTACAATGTTAGCTCATCTCAGCAGCACCTGTTACCTTGTGAGGTACCATGGCAACCACTGAAACATAAGCATGTTTCTAAATCTATTCCTTCTACTGTAAAAATCTGCTAGCTACCTTCACATTTGGAGTAGGGATGGGGCTTGTTGCAAGAAGAAACACGGCTGTGATGTGACTCCAAGGTCACAGAGCGATGACAGTGATGATGATGCCATTGGCCATGACCTTTGTGTCCGGTGGCTGTGGCCTGGTCTCCTGCCTGTCTCCTCCATTGTCTCTCTGTCAGCAAACGAGCATCCTCCCGTTGGGCAAAGCTCCCCAGCTGCTCCCTGTACTCACCATACAGCTGTATGGTGGGGGTGGGGGGGAGACACTATGAAACAAAATGCACCGTGTCAAGAAATCATAAGTCTGTTGGACCTCTCAGAAGAGAAAGAGAAAAGAGGGGGAAATGAGTGACAACTGAGACTTGAGAGAAGGATAAAACTAGATCCAGTGTGAAGAGTCTTGAGATAATGAGAAAGCAATTTGGAATGTGTGGTGTGTGTAAGGGATACACACCAACCCTGCCAGACAGAAATAGACAAATACAGGCAGAGAGACTGGAAAAGCCCCTCCCTGAGAGGAGGCAGGGGCTGGGGGGGAGCCAGAGGAAGCGCGGGCAACTCC